ACAGCATGTTCTTGACATTATTTGACTTTTTCTGACGCAGTGAGACTAAATGAGGGAGATGGGCTGTATACATTCAGCGCTGCACCTGCTTGTTGTGGTGTTTTTAATTTTAGTGGTTTTATGTAGGTTGCAAAAGTGCAAGTGACCTTAAAAGTTTACAAATATATAAAGCTTAGTATATGAAAAGGCATAAAGGAGTCAGGTGGGCAATATAGTTAAGTTAGAATTAATGTAACAGTGATGCGGTCGCTGTTGTGGTGAAGAGGGAGCTGAGTCGAAAGGCGAAGCTCTCGATTTACCGGTCAGTCTACATTCCTACCCTCACTTATGGTCATGAGCTTTGGGTAATGACCGAAAGGACAAGATTGCAGATACAAGCGGCCGAAATTAGTTTCCTCCGCAGGGTGCTCCTCCACGTTGAGAGGAGCCAGCTGAGGTGGCTCGGGCATCTGTTTCGGATGCCTCCTGGACACCTCCCTCAGGAGGTGTTCCGGGCATGTCCCACCGGGAGGAGGCCACGGGGAAGACCCAGGACACGCTGGAGGGACTATGTCTCTCGGCTGGCCTGGGAACGTTTCGGGATCCCCCTGGAAGAGCTGGAGGAAGTATGTGTGGAGAGGGAAGTCTGGGAGGCCCTCCTCAGACTGCTGCCCCCTCGACCTGACCCCGGAAAAGCGGAAGAAAATGGATGGATAATGTAACGGGATAAAGGGATACTATGTAGGGGAAAAAATGGTGGCAAGCAGGTGGCATACCCCCCCACCAGAAATTGCATATTGCACCTTTAACAGTGAAAATATTTTTTATTATTTATTGTTATTATTTTTTATAGGAAGAGGAGGTCACTCACACGGCAGGAGCTCGGAGTAGAGGCACTGCTCCACGTTGAGAGAAGCCAGCTAAGGTGGCTCTGGCATCTGTTCTGGGGGAGGCACTGGGGAAGACCCAGGACATGGTCTGGGAACACATTGTGGTCTCACCGGAGGAGCTGGAGGAAGTGTCTGGAGTGAGGGAAATCTGGCCCCATGAACCGGCCTTGGATAAGCTGAAGAAAATAGATGGATGGATAAATTGGTCAATGGCCCTATTCAGATTTTACTCAATGGTAACTTCCACAATCTAATTTACAGGGCAGCAAATTATATTAGTCTTTAAATGTTATTGGAAGATCATGTTATAATAATTACATTACATTACACACATTGACACACAGTTATTCACTTCATTTTTTATATAATAATTATTATTATCACTTTTTAAACATCTGGTTGTGTGTGTGAGAAGGGGTCTAGTTCCCTGTTTGTTGATAGGACTCCATTAGCGCAGACAATCTAACAATGTAAACAAATGCAAATGTATGTATGTTCAATATATTATAGAAAAATGTACCATTGTGTTTTTGTTGACCTTATTTGCTCATGCTTTCTCCCGTGCTGTAATTGTCTTTTGTCTTATACAGATTAACAGCATGTAGACATTTGATAGCCGTATTTATGGCCCTGTCTGTCAGTATTTGTGTCAGTGCACATTCCACTGTGAAGCCTCACTCCTCCTCCGAGTTATTCACACGTCAAATCTCTTCATTTTCTCGCTGGCACATGTGGGAGGACTGCTGAAGCAAACAAATGCTTTTATCAAGCATTAAGCTACTTTGTATGATTCATACTGGCCAATGTGTGAAAAACGATTATAGTGTAAAGAAGGGGTCACATTTTAAATACTAATGGTCTCATGGTCTTTTTTCATGTAGCTAGAATACTAATAAAAAAATATATATATATATATATATATATATATATATATATATATATATATATATATAATATATATATACACACACACACACACACACACACACACATATATATATATATATATATATATATATATATATATATATATATATATATATATATATATATATATATATATAAACAGACCCAAGTACATTCTTAACCCTCAAAATCAGGACAACGCTGGATTACTCAAACATACAAATCAGTCAAAAAGCAGCTTTGTTAATGCTCATTATAACTTAAAGCTCATAAAAGTTTTCTTTGCATACTGTGTCTCCTTTAAATCAGGCTAGACACACATTACTAGTTCACTGATCCTAAAGAGTAATTTTGGACAGTTTGGACAGATCCCAGCACCTGTATCTGGCAGGTTATGAAAAAGCTAAATAATGGTTTATGGTGAGACCAAGACTCACCAAAATCAGTACTGAAGTGCTCAAAATAAGGTATATTTACCGACATAGAAACATTGCCCCCTTGTGACTTCTGAAACTAGTTTTGCATTTAGTTTTTTATCATTTCTGAAGATTTCTCTCACGGTCATGATTTTTGGTTGCTTAAGGCTCTGAAAGGCCTCGCATTCACCCTAATAAAACAAAGTAAAGAATATGATAAATTTATCAAAATAATCAGTGCTTATTAAACTACTGAAAAGGTGATATTTAAGTAAGTAACCATGCAACATCATAATAGTTTTGTAGAAGTTCCAACATAAAGCTGAAGCCATGCTGTGACCACAACAGTCTGGGCATCTCTCTGATAACGGACTCTTATCTGCTGTTTACCACTCCTCCTTCTGCTTTGATTGCTCACATCGCTCTTACATCCACGCACAGAATAGAAATAAGTGGCAGACAAAGCAGAGTCAATGCCGCTTAAAAAGACATGATTAAACTTTGTTCAGGAAATCACAGCGTATTGAGATTTGTCGGTGGTCTATAGGCAGAAAATCAAAGTGCATCCTCGTCCGTGGAGGATGGGGTTAGCTTGTTTGTAGAATGAGTTGATTTGTGATGGAGGATTTATTATCAAGGTCAGAAATGGATTCACGACAGGAGTCAAAAATGTCAGCCGTCATTCAGGGAGCTGCTCTCAGTTTTAAAACTCAATCAAAAGTTGTAGATCATCAAAAAACAGAAAAGTGGAGAGAAGAAGGGTCTAATGTTTGTCTAGTAAAACGCATTGGTATTCAGATTAACACATGAGGATTATGTAGGCTATGATATGTGTAATATGTGTATAATAATACTTACAATTTATTTATTTATTTATTTAATGAGACAGGGACAGCACACAATTTTGACATTAACCTTAACAGGAAAAATGCATTGTACCAGGTTGTAGCATCAGTGCTAATTTCCACCTGTAGTCCCTGGACAGGTTCATTGACTGATTGTATTTAACTGACCTTAGCTGTCAACTGTTCTTCCTGGAGACCTATGTAGCATGTTTTGGGTAGCAATTATTTGTGGAAAAATGTTCACTGTTGACAATTTGGTTGGTCAATTTTATAATGTAAATATTTATTCATTTTTGACTAAAACACCAAGTGGAAGGGTTTAACTAATTCACATTTATTTATTTATTAGAGCTTCAATAAGTGACTTTAGTAATGTTATTTAGTGACTTTGAATTATTAAAGGTGAAAATGCTGTAGATGCAATTGCACCTACAATCAGCATAACCTGGTAAAAATGCATTTTATCATACAGTGAAAATAACTTTGCATCTCAAAATATTATTTATTGGGCTAGCTATAAACAAAAAATTCTATAATGAGATGTGAAGATACTATCTCTACAGAACTTTATGATACTTTTATTTTTTTCAGATTAAAATAAACTTTACTGGGTTGACATTTACAAGTATTTCTCTGTTATTTTATTTTTCTGTACAGAACTGTATCTAATTAACCCTTTGATAACATCTCCATTGTATTGTATTGTCCTACTTTTCTACATCATTTGTAACCCACAAAAGCCATCAAAAGCCACGATAATAATGATGTTTCCCATCAGCTTCCTGTGTGCAAATGTCCACTGTTCATTTGGAGCTGTTATTCTGATTGACCCCGGACTGCTCGAGCCTCCTCCGTAATCACCGCTCATCATGATAATCAGAGCGACCTTCACAGTGCAGAGGAGAGGGACTGCAGTCTGAACCATGCTAAGCCAATACATCCAGGCACATAGAATAACGCACACGACATGTTAATGTCAGTATAAGTTTTGAGTTATTTTGAGTTTTATTTTTTGTTTGCTACATTCCATATGTGTCCAGTTATAGTTTGATGCCTTCAGTGAAAATCCACAATGTAAATAATCATGAAAATAAAGAAGAAAACTAAAAGTGTGTGCAAACATTTGATTGTTAGTGTATATGAACTAAGAAGCCTGCTACCCTCTTGTCTCCATGGAGTTTGTTTTGTCTGTGTTCTACAGTATTGCATAAACCAAATCTTGTGAATTTATGTTGCCAGAATACCTTGAAAAACACACTTTCACATGGAGTTGTATGGTATTGTAAAAATGTTACATTTATCATTAAAACATAATGTTGTAATGTATATAACGCGAGAGCGTAGTCTTTTCTATTTTACTCTCAAATACTGTGCACTTCAATGCCTATTTGCCTAATGAACTACCAGCACCTTTGATTTTAGGAAATAAATATATTGAATTATTAAATAATTGAAAGTGTAACAGAATACTTAAAGTTAATATTTGTACATTCCGAACACTTTGTGGAATTAAACTGAGGCATAGACCAGTTTCATGTCATTTTTAATTTTACAGTGAATATGGTGACTGATGCAGAGCTGATGCTGTAGTGCTATGTTTATACACTAATGTGTGTCTGTGTGTGTGTCTGTGTGTGTGTGTCTGTGTGTGTGTGTGTGTGTGTGTGTGTGTGTGTGTGTGTGTGTGTGTGTGTGTGTGTGTGTGTGTGTGTCGTGTGTGTCTGTGTGTCTGTGTGTGTGTGTCTGTGTGTGTGTGTCTGTGTGTGTGTGTGTGTGTGTGTGTGTGTGTGTCTGTGTGTGTGTGTGTCTGTGTGTGTCTGTGTGTGTGTCTGTGTGTGTGTGTCTGTCTGTGTGTGTCTGTCTGTGTGTGTCTGTGTGTGTGTCTGTGTGTGTGTCTGTGTGTGTGTCTGTGCATTTGTCAATACATTTTACAGACTACAAAAAACGGACCATTATCTGCTTAATACAATCACATTGACTGTAATACACTGAACTGGGAAATGTAAAACAGATGGCAAAAACAAAAAAATAAATAAAATAACAAAGGTTTTCCAAGTTTGTGTACAACAAATTATGCAAGGCCAATGCAATTTTGTGCAAGCTTGTATAAAACATTTTGTATGAAACTGATGATTTTACAATTACCTGGTATAAATCATTTTTTGTTGCAAAGTGGGTAAAATGTCATCTACCACATATTCAACACACCTTATGAGTGGCAGTTACTAAAATTGCCATAATGGTTCTAAACTTAATTTAGCGTTGTTATCTCTCATCATTCAAAACAAAAACACATTACCTCACTCTGTATGGAAAACACGCACTTTCACTTTCAACTGAACTTCTAAAATAATCGTGACAGTATCATCAACTTTTTCATCGCACTTGTAAACTTGGAAGGCAGACATCTTTTGGTAAAGATAGATGAAAACAGAAAGTAACATCCCCTGCTCTAACAGACCGGTTTGTTGATTTACCTTGACGTGATGCTGACTGCAGACAAGTAGTCAAAACAGGCACATGATGTTGCAATGACGGGTCTTGCCGGCTGATTTACACAGTCTCCCTGGTCTGGGGAAGCAGGACTTAAGCACCCTCTACAGTCTGACTTCTTCAGAACAGTATTCCAAGTGGGGAAGCGAGAACACCCCCTCGTCTCGGTTTAGTGTGTTATGGGCATGTTTTCGGATTTCTATTGCTTCTTTTATCCAGAGATGTGCCAAAAATCAGCTGACAAAACACATCACAGCAACAGCATGTGACTCTTCTGATGATGACTACAGACAGAAGTCAAAGAAGGTAGATAAACAAACTGGGCTGTTAGTTGAAAACAAAAAAGTAATTTGTGGAAAATAAGATCAAATGAACCTTTTTGGAAGAGCATGGGATGTTACTTTTTCCAGAAGCCATTGATCCAAATATCAAACTACTTAAAAGTATTAAACAAAAGCTATTTATGTGACCCATTATACAGTACACTGGGTACAATGCATAAAAACATCTGTGTAGCATTATCCAGAGCACAAAACTTAAAGTGCAGAAATCTTGAATGAGCAGCTCTTTGATTTGCATCATTCTCTCTGAAATGTCACTTAAACCCACCAAATTTGAGCCCCATCTCCACCTACCCACTCATAGAATTATATGGAAAAAAAAAAGATAAAAAAAAAACAAAAAACATTCCCAAATGGAGTGCAATTATAAACCACGTATCCATGTCATCTCCCCTTATTTTTCTCAAAACCATGGGTCAAAAATACTTCAGAGCTTCATCTTAAACTAGCATTACAGTACATATATTCAACAGGAGAGGGCATCCTTACTCTGTACCAAAATAATCTGTAATGTGCATCAATCTTCATTTTAAGGTCAAATGAATGATTAGTGTCCAAATCTCAGCAGTTGTGATCCCTTATAATGCTTATGTAATACTAATAAAGTGATGCAGCTGATTAGTTGACAGACACCATTCCTAGCACGCCTCTTCTATTTTAAGAAGTGCACACAGGTTGTTTGCTTATTTGGAGCTTTCACTGGCCAACTTGGCAGGACGCACCATTTCAATACAGGGATCTTTAAGCCAACATGTATGGAGTGTGTAAAGCTAATTTTGCAATTTCTCAAAACAAAAATAATCACTGGTCACTTGAATGACAAAGCTTACGCAGAAAACCACTGAACCAAATTCACCTTCTCATTACAAGAAGCATTTTTTTTTTCAAATTGTGTTTGATACTTTGAGTCATTATAATTGTTCCTAGTCCCATCCGCATTTATTCAGCTCTCCATTTCCAACTAGCCATCAGACCTGAAATGTTTTACCAGTTTCACCAAAGCCTCCTATAGATCCAATATTCACAGCCTGATTAAACAACTGTGGGTTCATTGTTCAAATCTTAGTCCATGGTTTGTCGTAGTACTTGTTTTGCTGCTTTTAAAATCACATCAACAGCTTCATAATAAGAAAACTGCCTGGCAGCTTTCTGAATGCTACACAAAAAGACCAAGAGGTAACAGCCAAATCCTAAGTGTATGCTTTAGTCTAGTCTAGAATGAAAATGTAAAAATTGTAACCTTTGTTTTATATATATACCATGAAGTAATATCTTTGATGTGGTTGGAACTAAAAAACAAAAAAATCTCATCTCAAACCAAGAAACAAGAACAATATGGGCTTTCATTAATGCTCGAAGTGAAAAATGTCTTGGAAAAAAAAAAAGTCCTCATAGTATACTCGCTTCTAAGGCAGTTCTCAATCACAGGACTTTACAAGCACAGTTAAGTTAAATTGTGTCAATAAAAACTTCGGAAATCCAATCCGAGTAGACCCCATGTGGAGTGTATTGATCACAGAGTCAAGTTTAAGATACTTTTCAAGTTCGTTCTGGTGTCCATCTTATCCCCCCTTTTCACACAGGGCTCTCAAGAGGAAGCAGTGTCTGTGTTCAGAGGCACAAGAGTCAGTGAAGAGAGGCGTCCGCACAGTAAGCAGAGGACAGGGGAGGAGTGTGAGAGCGGGGGGAGCAGATGTTACCAGATGTGCGATTCACAGTGAGTCATTTTGATCACACCCACACCTCCACCGAGACGCCTGTAGTTCATTCCTCCGTATAACCTGGTCAACAGAAACATATATGAATATTGAACATAGACAAGTAAATTAGATATTGGTTTAGCTAAGCTTGGAGCTTTGGTTTTGATTGGTAGCATCTCTGGTTCAATTGTTCTGATTACTGGGTTAAATATATGTTGACCCACTACTGACAAAACTACCATTAAAAGCAGAAAATTGCAGATAGTTTGTGATTTTGATCTGAGTTTTTTTTTTTTTTTTTTGAACAAATTACAAGTTTTCACAGCAATGTAAGATAGGCAAGTAGATGTATTGTTTATTAAGTTGCATGTAAAGTAAAACACTTACCTCCATGTATTTGCATCTGGATCATATACTTCTATAGTTTTTAAATACGTTGTCCCATCAAAACCTCCTACTGCCATCAACTGACCATTTACAACTGCAAGACCCACCTGTACATAAACAGAGCATTAGACTCAGCAAATTATGGTAAATGCTCACATTTTTATACAGGGCTTTTCCACCTTCAAGGCACTTTTACAACAAGGACCATATACCTTGCTCATAACTTGTATGGAGCTGGAATCACAACACAAGATGGATCTGACCGCTCAACCAATAATGTTTATGAACCACCATCCTTTGGATCAGTGGACAAACGCTCTGCCAACTGAGCTACTTCTGCCCCAGCAGCACACCATTCTATTTATCAAAGCTGAACAGTTTCAGAAAGTATCCTCTTAACTCATTATATATCTGTATTGGTCTAGTAATATATTTTATGTATTGAACCTGCTAAACCCATTCACTTGAATGAATTTCCAACTATCTTTTCAATGGGATATTATATGACCTAAAAAGACTCATTGTTATTCAAACTGCTTCCCGATTTATAGTTGAAATCTTGAAATCAATCAGTTAGTATTTTTTAGCAGTATTTTGCATCAGATACCCACCCCACTTCTTCTGGACGTCATGGCAACCACTGGAGACCACTGGTTGGTCCTGGGGTTGTATCGCTCTGCACTGCTCAGCTCTGTAGTATCATCTCTGCCTCCCACAGAATAGATCATGTCCTGGTACACAGCACAGCCCAGGTGCTTCCTCCTGGTGCCCATCGGAGAGACTGTGTGCCAGCGATTCTCTTGTGGATTGTAACGCTCCACTGTAAAAAAAAAAATAAAATTATGAATTGGATGGATTATTTTTTTTCCTCTCCTCTGAAAATGTACTATAATTTGAACTATAGCTTTTAAAACAGCTCTAAAACACAACTCATTATGTAGACAAGTTTGTATTATTTTGTTGTCAATATAGGTTTCAAATCGTTCCATAGAAAATAAGCTTCAAGTGTTATATTAAAATAACAACTTATGATTTACAGAGTTTAAGACTTTTACCTACCTGTATTCAGCGGTGACGTCCCATCGGACCCCCCCACAGCATACAGAAATCCTCCCAGCACTGCCACTGCCACACCCAGCCGCCTGGTGCTCATAGAGGCCACGCGGGTCCATTTGTTTTCCTTTGGATCATACCTGTGACATAAGTCCATTCATAATAAGTATAGTGTTATGAAAAATAGTATGTGAACATAGAGCACAGTTCTTTTGACCTTTCTACAATGTTCAGACAGGATACTCCATCTTGTCCACCAACTGCGTACAGGTAACCTCCTAATACAGCCACGCCCACACTGGTGCGGCAGGTGCTGGTCGGAGCCACATCACTGCTCCACTGGTTGGTTTTGGGATCATATCTAAAAAAGTAAAGACATGTTAGGAAGCAATAGTAACAAAACATTACTTATTAATATATTCTATGATGATTCAAAGTATTCAAAGTCAGGTCAAGTTTAGGTGTAGAACGTGAAGAAAAGTAAATTGTTGCATAGAACCCCTGACCTCTCTACAGAGTTGAGGTATGATGACCCATCATGTCCTCCCACGGCATATAGCAGGTCATCCAGGACACTGACTCCAACTCCACACCTGCGTTTGCTCATGGAGGCCACCATCCTCCACTCGTTTGTCTGAGGGTCATACCGCTCCACACTGGAAATGGCATCTCCACTGCACCAGCCACCAACTGAGCATACAAAAGACTTATGAGCCACAAGTTTCCTCCCTAAGAGGATACAGGTGTTTACAGGCTTGTCAAGCTTCTCACATTCATTAAACTGAGCGACAAAACTGCACCATAGCCCCCTCAGACTACCAACTATCACTCATAAACCATATTCATTCTCAGCTATGTGGGTGAAGTGTCTTGCCTAAGGACATAAAACCAAAAGGTCTGAGCGATGGATAGGCGCTCTAACCACTCACTCTCACCCCTCTGAATATTTTAGATAATTTTGTTATTATTTTAAACATGTTTGTTTTATGTTTTACCACAGAGAAATGACTTTTCATTTCATGTGTTTTTATTGTTAGAATAACAAATAAAGTCTGATGAACGCTTAAAAATAAAATATACTATAATAATATACATCATCAGTTTTCAAAAGTTACATTTAGTTGCAAGCAAGCCTAGCATATAATATGAACTAATATAAAGATTTTGATAATGAAATTTGTTATCAGGATGGAATGGTTTAAGCAGACCTGCAAACAGTACTTCTCCACAGCGTATGGGTTTCCTGGGTCGAGTTCTGGGTCCCTGCATCAGCGGTCTCTCCTGAGGCAGCAGCAGGTAATTTTTGGCCTCATCAACCAGGTCTCTGAAACATTGCATTAAGTCAATGCCCAAAATACAAACAACTGCATAGGAAAGCATTATTGTACACTTTCATTTTCAACTATAAATGCATGCCTACCTGCACTCCTCATCACTTTTTATAAGAGGGTCTGATCCAACAGTGCCGACCAAGAACTTAGGACTCAGTAAGGGAAGTCTGACATGTTGTAGGACCTGAAAACACAATACATCTATAAATGCGGAAAAATAGAGGTGGCCAGTATTGCCAGAAAGAAATTTCTTTTGCAATATCTTTATAACAATATTTTTTTATCAATGTGCTTAAATGTGGCTGTAAATGTTTAAGTCTAGCATAAAACATGAATAGACCATAAAATTAAATACTACTGCATATATCAAACCTGTGGTAGCTGCGGCCTGCGTTCCTGAATGCTGTACTTGACCCAGGCCATCACAGCGTTGAAAACCTGCTCCTCACTTCTCACATTGAGCTCATCACTAGAGATGATGTCGATCAACTGATTGGCAGGAAGCAGCATGAACTCTTCACTTTCCATAACCTGCAACAGACCACAGAGAAATGGACAGTCAGCAGGTGGGCACAAAAATACATTCATGCAATAAGTAGAAGCAGTTATTCATGTAAATGAGAGATGTCTGCTTTTTAGATTTTCTCCCTCATAGCAATAAGGGGACAATAAGCTCAGGAGACATCTTGAGGGCAGGGGGCAAGACAAAATATTGCGTTTTAGAATAGCATAATAGCAGCAATTAGCATCTAAAATAACATCTAAATGCTGCTCGGGTTTCCGATTTTCTGCCATTTACGTTCCTCTGTGAGATGAATGACAAACACATAATTATATCAACAACTGTGTTAATTATGTTTAGAAATCCTGGGGAACTAATTTCACTTGACAAGCGACCAAGTTTAGTTTGACAGTATACTACAAACAGTCAACAACAAATATGGGAATATCAGCTATTATTCTTTTAAGAAATAATCACGTATAAAATAGATGTAAGGAAAACGTAAACTGTAAATATTGGATTCTATTCATGCATTATTTTACAATGGGTCAATATGCATGAACTGCTGCTGTATCCTTTCAGACAACAATCTTAACCTCAATTATCTTAATTCATGTCTATCAAGTAAGTACCAATGATTGATGTAATCAATCTGTATCAGTAAAGTATCAAATAAAAAGATTTGGGTACCAAAAAAAGAAAAAGAACCAAAAGAACACTTTTTCTTTGGTTCAAACTAAACTTAATGCCAAGTGGGTCCAGTTAGAGCTTTAAAGAAAGTGCTGTCATATCATCATCAATAAAAAACAACTGCTTTTATACAAAGTAATACTATTTAATGGAATGTATGAACAGCCCTAAGTATGCGAACACAAATTCACAGGGCAAGAACTGGACCTAATCTCGACACTATGTGATACTGGGACAGCCCTAAGTGAATTTAAATGCAAGCCCACCTCCTGGAAGTTGTGCTGGGTGAACTTGTCAGCAATCCGGAGCAGCTCACGGCAGGAGTGTGTGTCGGCGAATGCCCTGATTCCCAGACAGTTGGAGGGATCCAGCTGTCTCTTGAGGAACTCACAGCACGCCTCCTGGATCTCAGCCAGTTGAAGGAGGCACGCAGCAGGGAGCAGTGTTTGAACGTTCCCCTCCTCCACTGTCACCTATGGGACAGCCAGGCACTTACAGTTTAGTATGTTTAATACAGTTAGCACTCGGGAAAACATGAATGTTGGACATTTGTGACAACTCATTCCTCCCAACCTCCTGTAATAAAAAATGAACAACTATAAAAATATGTCTAGACAAAATTTAGTACATTTAGTCATTTACAATAACCTTGATTCAGTGTGCAATTATAAAACCAACTGCATTTCACTGGTGGAATATTTCAATTTTGAAATAGGAAGGTGTAGTTAATTCATTTGAAAAGTACAATTATTATTGTTGCAGACTTTCTGTACATAAACTTTGTTCGTAAAATTTCCCCTGTGGCTCCAATGAAACTTTCCCTTCTTATATTGCCTTTTGTTGAGTTTTAAAAGGTGCACTATGAAACTTTTCTGATGGAGGGCACACCACCTGTTTGTCTCCATGGTTATTGCTTTGCCTAGGATGTTCCACATTATGGCATTAAAATCATATATATTCAAGTACATGTTACAGATCATTGGAGAGGTGACCTGGCCCACTGTAAGAATGTGTGTTTCTCGTGGTATTTTTGAGTAATTAAAATAAATATAATTGAATAAACGTAAAATATAATTTAATGTCATACTCTGGAACATCCTAGGCAAAGCAATGTCATCTCCATGGAGACAAGCAGGTAGCGTAACAGAAAAGTGTTCCAAAAACCCACTATAGTTTTTTTTGGTTTTTTTTTTTCCAAATGCCAGACACACATATTTTTAATCCCATAAATGTCTTTAAGAGGATCTACAGACATGCTCCACAGCTTAACAGTTATCTAAACAACACATTATGGCATCTTTCACAACTCTGTATTTTCAGCGCATAAATATTTGGTATCTACTTCAACAAATTATAAATTACTTAATTTATTATTTTACAATGTTATTTGTAGCACTTTTTCTAACAAGATTAAATGCGTATGAGAAATTGTTCTTCAAAAGTTTATTTTATTTACCTGTGAGGTGTAGGCAAAGTCAATGAGCAGCTCCATGGCCCTCTCATCAATGTCACGAATCACAACTTCAGTTTGTCTGCTCTCTGCCAGCTCCCCCGTAAACATAGCCCTATTGAAAAGATATTTAAAGATTTAGTTCTGAAGTATAGAGTACACATAGCAATTAAGTAGCAATTAAGCAGCACAATGGCTGTGTTCACACCCAAATCTGGTGGACTATCATGATTACTTAAATAACATGTAACTGCAAAATCTGATGTGAGTAGTCACGGGATCATGATCAGAAAGAAACCTGATGATTTTTTCATTTACATGTGAATTTAATATCAGATAATAACTAGGTTTTGAGTATGTACTGTGCATGCAACTGTAGTCACTGTTATAGCCTAGGATGAAGCTGGAATACAACATAAGACTTACAATAGACTGAATGAATTGATTTCCAATCTTATAGACAAATCAAGTCCAGTCCATAATTCATAAACAAATGTCTGTACAGCTCTACTCGACTATAAGACTTTACCTGAAGTATGGACTGCAGGCCGATAGAATGACCCGGTGAGCATAAATCTTCTTGGCGCCCACCACCAGCACCACGTCACAGAGTTCACGGTGCTTCCTCAGCAGGTTGATCACCTCCAGAGTCTGTCGTGGGTGTTTGTCTGAGACATAGGGCATGCGCGCGGGCTGGGGGACCCCTTCAGGGAGCTTGTTGGGGTCCCCCAGAGTACAGCGGCTGGTGATGTCCATTCCAGTGGCGTCTTGGCGTGCGCTGGTGGCCCTTATAAAAGATAAACACCAGTCATTCATTCATTCACAATTGAATGCCAAATCAAATGTAAACAGTTGTTCTACAAGTTTCAAATATACTCATGTATAGCATCTACAATATAATATGTATGGTGGTATATTGATGGGAAAGAGTTATACTGCATTTTTTATATTTGAATTTTTAAAAAAATGCACATTTTATACTTGATTTAAGGAGGTCTTAAACTGTTCCTTGCCTCTGGTCAAAGAGTGTTGCACAAAATGAACAAAACATTTTCTTCAAGTAGGAAAAAAAACAACACAAATTATTCTATTTATGAAATTGAAGTTATTGAGCATAAGTGTCTAGTTTCTTTCTGCCTCAGTTGGTTCAAGGGTTGGAAACCTCCCTGGTCACTCGATATGTTCAGGTAGTTTCCCCTTGCAGTGAAGGCCCTACTATATTTTTAGAAGGAGAGCATTTCACTGTTTATAAATAGAAAAGAGTGAGTTGGTGACTCCCACTGGAACTCCACTCTTAGTCTGTGCCATTAACCTGTCAGAGTGGACACTGAACAGAAGCTTTATTATTGAGCCATCAGCCATGCCAGAGGCCTGGAGTTAGTCCCATCTATAGAGAGAGTTAGGACAAGGCTGGTTTTATGGCTGCTACTCAAATACCCAACAGACAGTAGCACATGTTTGCTCTGTAGAGGTTACATAAGTGTGAGAAAAGGTGCAAGGAAAGGAAACACATTTCATCCATGAGGGACCGGTCCTGCTCTTCAATAAAGATTAGGCTCATTCTTTCAATAAAAAGAAATATTTAAAAGGCCACACCTACCTGCGCATTGGCTTTGCGTCCATGCACTAAAGAACAATGTTGAGCTCCACACCTTGCAATTAACCTTAAAAATAAGAAGAATAAATAATTATTAATACAAAATAAATTGAATGCATGGAATTGAGAATTTTAAAACTTTTACTTTTTCATTTGGCATTAATATTGCAATGCAAATGTGTATACTTCATTTTGACTGCCTTTCAGTTTTAACCTTGGTAACTTCGCAGTACTAGAGTATGTTTAAGAAATTTGACAGTAGTTATTGCCTTCTATTCTTTACGCTTGTACTCCAAATGCTATTTGTTTGAAATAACGTCTGCGTTTCTCCTTGAATCACTAGATTGAGGTCTTGATCCTTAACATTATTGTGACATTTGTCTGCTGCTCAGCACAGAAAATGCTAACATTTAGCTTACACATAAGAAACGCAGCATTGTGCTTCATCGTGACACAACTGTCTGAGAGAACATATTGTACTTAGAGTAGCAGAATCTAGGCACACATACATTACAGTAGAAGTAATAAATAACACGTAACACACGTAGCGTTAAGTAGTGTTTAATAATTAGCTAACTCCTGAAGCTAACACAGTTACTCAGACCAGCACACTGATAAAACTCACAGATCGACCTAAATCAATCGAGTCACAAAATACTAGCAGGAAAAATACCTGCTTTTGATAATTCCAAAGAGCATTTGACAATCATTTGATCGGTGTAGTCGTCGTTGTCACGGAGCCACAGGAGGAATATTTTAGACTTCCCCTCTGGGGGTAACTTTGAATAACACGTACATAAAAAATATGCAACTAACGACTAATCCAGCCGTCTGTGATACAGTCATAATTAAAACAAAGCTTACCTTGTGCTTCCATTCCCGCGGTGGACAGAAGTCGCTTTGATCGCTAATGTTTACAGTTTAATGCCGACGTTTAGCTCTGATGGTTTTCCTCCCACTAAACTGCGCATGTGCCAATAATAAGCGCCGTTTCCGGGTAGAACGCTGTCAAAATAAAAGTGTAGAATGACGTAATTCTTTAATTTTAAAGCTGAATAGAAACGTGTAGACTGTAAAACTGTTGTAAACTTCTATCGTTTACAACTCGACAGTTGGACTCCATAGAAGTAAATGTTTTCTGGCATTTTTAAAACTCTTTAGTCAAAACTTTGATACGCAGAAAATATGGAAATGAGCAACATTTTATTTCAGTGTGCAGCACATGATCACCTTTTGACCAGCAGATGGGGCTAGATCAGCATTTGGGAATCAATACTATTGAACGTCTGATTTACAAACATCAGTTTATTTGTGTAAGGTTTCTTTTATAGCTGAATTATCATTTTATAATATGCAGATATCTTTATCATGTTTGTTTTACATAAGCTACATTTTGACTTTTGATCAAGACATTACATAAATTGAGAATACCAGAGAATGACACTGTTGTTGTTAGGACCACAACGAAAAAGCCACAGTCACAGTTTGATTGCCATTCAAACTTATATTTACCATATCAAAACTGAAAATGGTCTTCAACACCCTTCTTAAATAAAACATTCTTAAATTAAATGTACACTCAAGTTTTACTTCATTTTCCAACAAAGTGCCAAATTTCATTATATTATTCAAAATAAATTAAATAGCTTACAAATACATTGTATAAAGCATAAAGCCATATTTGTCTAGACATTAATAAACACCTGTTAATTCATCTTAAACTGAAATAATATCATGAGTTCTAAACTGAAATTCAATTCCATCCATATTCAGATTATAGAAAAGCCTTAGAGTGCATCATGGCTGTGGTATTAATCCTCTGAGTAGTCTCAAGCGTGGCTGACTGGCAGCTGTGTCAAAGAGTGGGAGAGGAGCGGTTGCAGCAACAGTGGATCAGGGTTAGGAACTTGAAGGAAAAAAAAAAAAAGTGTGCAAATTAACCTTGTAATTTTTAGTAAAATAACAACTAAATGAATGTGTACCGTCCACATAAGTGAGTGTGGTGAGAAGTGGAGTATCTGAAGACAGATATGTGCTGTACTGGAGGTCGTCCATCAGAGGACTCAGCTGATCAGGACCTAGAGTCATCAGGGCAGGGGCAGCAGGAAGTGGATTGACATGCTTCTTCTGACGAGCTCTGCAGTTCTGAAACCAAACCTAACAAACACAAATGTGCATAATCCAATACATAAAATACATTTTTTAAAGTTTTATTCCAAATTGTTGTTTTGCATTGGTCCATACCTGTATAACTCTCCGACTGAGACCAGTCTGCTCAGCCAGCTTCTGCAGAGTCTGGGCATCGGGGTTGTTGTCTTTGGCAAACTGGTTTTGCATTATCTGAAATGTATAGAAATAAATACATACCCATTCGATTACAAAGGATTAACTGGCATTGGCCACTGATCAAGAGAAATCCTACCTGCAACTGTTCAACAGTGAAACTGGTCCTGGCTCTTTTAGCTGGTCTGGGCACAGAGTTTGAATCCTTGTCAGACATCTCTTCTTCAGTTCTGTGTTGTTCTGTTACAGCATGTAGAGATTGTTAGTATAATGTATATTTTATTGTGTCATTTATATATTTAAACTGAAAACTTTCGATGCATTTTGGTCTCACCACTTTCTCTGGCCCGCTTTATGTTGTCCATCATTATGTCATAATGAGTTCGACAGAAGATTCGGTTCTCCAACAGTCCGCACTCCTCTCCGGTGGACAGCTGTCTCTTACAGGAGGTGCAGGAGAAGCAGGCCAGGTGGAAAGTGCTCCCTCTCGCACGCCGCACCCAATCACTGGAGTTTATATTGCGGCCACAGCGTGCACAGCGTGTCCCGTACCTCCTGAAAAGACATGTTCAATATTCAGTCAGTATTGGCTCAATTCCAAGAGGCGTTGACTAGTTTTATTTTTTAAAAAAAAATTTAAAAATAAGTCATGCATTGCTCAACCCACCTAAAGTAGTCCAGTTTGCAGAAGACTTGTTTGTCTTTGATGTAGCAGCTCACGTGACGGCCCAGTGATGTATTACACACACTGCATGAGAGGCAACGTACATGCCAGCACAAATCATTTACCTGAGGACAAGAAAATCTCCAACCATTAAACTGAGTCATGGTATTCAAATATAGTCTACAATGTATTTATAGACACACACACACACAACCAAAAGAGCTCTATAAATAAAGCCATGCATCAACACATTATTAAGCATTCTAGGTCTACATTGTTTGTGTCTTTCAAATAAAGCACTAGTCTATACACTTCAGGGATGTGCTACAAGCATATGAAAAGTTGAAAATTATAGAGGTGATGATAAACGTAGTACACCCATAGACTGCATACACAGTTTATGGGTATATTTAAAAGAAAAATGGAGCTGCAAATATTTAGGGTAACTAAAAACCACAAACATTATATAATGCACTTTTCTACTTTTGTTTTATATTCTGCTATCTTCCAATGAGCTTCTTTACTGGCATGCAATAGAACCATTCACCACTCCTGGAAAGTTGTGTGTGTGGGTGTGTGGTGAAAAATAATAATGCTGTATGTGCACTGCACACAGTGTTACCTTGAGCAGATATCTATCCACTATGTCCAGGCCGCAAGAAGAGCACACAGGATTGCCCCGCACAGAGGTCACTGCGAGAGCCGAGGAGGAACAGCTGGACAGAGACGAGGGAGAGTACAAGTCCTCCTCGAAAATATCATCCGGGCCCGAGGAGCTCTGTAAAAATAGTCAGTTAAACACAGGAGTTATAGCTGCAAGCAGGTCTACACTACAGTTAGCAAACAAAGCTAATTTTGTAGGAAGACGACATCAATAAGTTTGTTTTTGTAAATCTTGGGCTACTTTGCACCTACGGCGTCGAGTAAAAGGCTGTCGTCTTCATGCTGGTGCAGTGAAAAAACATCTTCCAAGCCTGAGTCTTGTAACTCGTTCATTGCCTCTGAGGCAGCTGAGGTTTCCCTAAAGAGGTCCTCGGCTAGGCCATGTTACCAGGGTAACCACTGGCTTATTAATCACCCCCAAATACATTTAACTTTATTTACGGACTTTTAAAACAAAAAGTGGCGCCGCTCTGAGCAGACACGGGGCCAAACCGAGAGCACTACGCACACCTGAGCTTGATTGGACCAATCAGGACGCAGCCACGCAGGTGCGCGCAATAAGCACGCGCGTGCCTGTAGTCCACGCGCAACACGAGATCCACTTGTATTACATTGTGGATTTGGCAGCAGGCTGTTGAGGTCCTTCTGTTTCAATGTAATAAAACTGGAGGTCATGAGAGACCAATAGGTATTTTATATCTAGACAAATAGTGAGTTCTCTATTACTGCCAATAGAAATAGCTATATTCAGCCATAATGTAGCCACATAAGTCTGTCCTATATGGACATTCTTTCAGCTTTTATGTCGAGGCCTTCCTATGGGCTAAGTTTGCTAATTGAAATTATGCGTTATTACACAGGCCTACGTCAAAGAAAAACTTTGCTTTTGTTTTTTGGTTTTTTACCAATGAACTATTTAAAAGACTAAACCATGCTCATCTAAAATTTACCGTTTTCTTCTTACTTTAAACTAAATTTCCTTGTGTTTTCTGTCTTACCGTGCTGTTGGGGACCGAGTTGAACATATCCGTGCGCCTCCTCACTTCATCCCCGTCAGGCAGATGTTCTTGTCCCGCAGCTGCCGCTCCGTGAGACCGGGAGCTCTGTTTGACCTCCGTGCTAGTCCAATGTCCTCTCAAAGACTCAAGTTTGTGTGTAGTGAGTCCTTACCCCCTCGATCCTTTTACTTTTAAAGCAGAGCGTATGTTGCGCTCAGGGTCGACTGCACCTCCCATCGCCCCCACTCCGAGGCCCAGCCCGCTACAGCATCACTTCAACCAGGTCAAATTAGCTTGTACACCTCCCACCACAGGACCCTTGTAATGTAATAAATTGTAACTTAAATAAGGTACAATAGTACTAGCAAATATAACGTAATAACTCTTCAATAGCCTATAGGCCTATTATAATACCAATTCTCACAATGAAAGTTCATCCTGACGCTGTAAACTTGACTTAGAGGCTTACTATTTATCAACTTCCATCATCTTTTGATTTTTAAAATTAATGCAAATTATAATAGCAGAAATTGTGGAGTAGTAGCAGTAATAGCAGTAGTGGGCATTTAGTAGGCCTACAGTACAGTACAGCAACACCTATATAACGCTATTGTCCTCTAATACACTGTAAAGAGCTATACGTCATGGTACCATGTAGAATAAAAGTAATGGGTCATCAACCCTTTATCTCAAAATACTTACAGGCAAATGATGAATTATTTGTTGTAATTATTTATACAATAAAATAATCAATTGCATGTGCATTACTGAAATCTGACTGAAGTGCTCTTATTCTGACAGGGTCTCTATTTTTCAGACCTCAGACTGGAGCGAGGGTGATGGCAGATGCAAAGTCAATGGACCCTGATTAAAACCATACCTGAGAGCACTCAACCATAGTAAGTGTCCAGACTAAGGAATAAGATTATGAATCCCTCTGGACCTTATCTCTGCACTATGTCCACATAAAATAGGAGATTTTAAACACATGGTCAATGAAGAAAATGTGTATGTTTATTTGTTTATTGGACAGATATCATGCAAGAAACATGTATCTGTATCACAGTGTTTAGCCTTGGCTAATTCATAATCAGATTTCATTAAATAAATGCAATACAAAATTTTAATTGCACATAAACAAATTTACATAATAAAAAATAAAATAAAATTGACATTGGACCAAATGATGTAATGGGGCACTCAAATGTTAATTACTTCTTTAAATGCAAGGTTTAAGATAAGTCTGAGAACCCTGGATTACAGTGACTCAAGAAGACACCTGCCACAATTTAGAAACAAATGCTTTATACTCTGGCAGGCATTTTGTTTGCTTCAGGCGTGTCAGAACATCATTAAGATTTGATGATGGTTGGTGTTTTGTTTAGTTGTCCCAATGTTTCATATTGTTCTATTTATTTTTAGTTTTTGTTCAAACTATTAATTCAAATAGCCTACATTGTGGGGTACATTTGAGGTAAGGGCCTATTTGAGTGCTTTATCATCCTTACGTCATAGTTCGTGCGTTTGGACCATGTTTGTTTCTGGGTTTGGTTTCCCTTTTTGAGCCAAAAACATCCGAGCATCCCACAAACACACAGTTGTTTTTGGTTTAAAGCTTGTTTCTTTCAGTTTAGAAGAGACTTATCTCAGAGACTGGAGTGCAGTGGGGCGGGCGTGTCACTGTTCGCATGGGTTTAAGATTGTTCAGTTTGATTATAACAAAGTTAAGATTAGATTGGACTGTACATGTGGTATGTATGAGGGAGACCAGCGGGTTTTCCAGTGGATACCTGAGCCTATAAGGTCTATGTTAAGGCCTGGGTTAAAATACAGAGACATGTATAATTAGTGACCTACTGAATCAATAAAATGCAAATGAAACAGGTATTATCATCTACACAAAGGTATGGCTTCTTTGAGAGTAGCTATGCTTTTCAACTTGGTGCCAGTGCTTATAAAATGACTTTGTAGATAATAAAGCATTAGTTTTATGCATTTATGTGCATGGTTCATTCATTTTATTCCACAGTAAACTACTTATGTGACCTGAGCTGGTCTGGGGTAGATTGATGGCAGAGAGGAGTTTTCAGACTGCATACTTCTACTACTTTTACAGTGTACCAATATTCTTTCTTGAGAAAAAGTTTTGGCTACTTTTACCACTGTGAGTAAGTCTATAATTAACAAAGCTTTTTGTTGACAATATTAAATGAGTTTCTTGTACTGTTCCTTCAGATATGATTTGAATAAAGAAATTAATTTAGTTGTAATTTTTGTGGTCTAAAGAAAATCAATTTTGTGCATTTCATGTTTTATCTTTCTAATTACTTTAACTTCAAATGATTATAAAGGTAAATATTTCTACTTGTGTAATTTTCTTTTTGAGTATAGCTTACTTGAGTAAAATTTTTGACCACTTTACTCTCATGTGTATACAGTATATCCATAGTCTGGCATACTGGCAGAGCAATAGAGTTCAGTGGTTTTTGATAGACTTTTACTGGGTTTACTAGGGTTTAAACTAAGTCTGACCCAGTTTTTGGCCTGAATAGAGTTTTATGCATAAAAAAAAACATTGCTTTATAAACAAACAACAATTTTATTCACCAGAAAAATGACATGCTATTATAGAAAATAACATAGCATAGTAGACTACAAGTGCCTCATTTTTGACTTCCTGTCCACAATCCCTCCAGCCTTAATACCACCAATCACCATGACAACCCAAATAAACAAGGGTATTCTGGGTACTGTATTTCTCTGACAACAAAGAGTAAATGAGCAGGTCTGGGGGAGCCACATCTGGGCTGCATTAGTATCAGCGGCCAATGACAGATGAGTTATATTCTGCCCGGCGACGCAACATGAGGCTGAAGGTGGTCCAATATGACAGAGGAGGAAATGACATCGTCCACAAAAACTGATGGTTCCTATAGGCCCCCCTAGCCATTTGTGGACTTCAAGGGATTCATATACTGTATAATCTACATTTCTAATATGGTTGTACAGTTTTACGGTTTTATGCATGGTGAGGTCATGAATTCAAGTGTGATATTCTTGAAAAGGAAGTGTACAGTATTTTTGCTTTCATTTACTTTGCTCCATTAGCTGTTTCTCTAATACTAGTTTAGATAATTGTTCACTAATGCTCTGAAGTGGAGCTCAGCAGGTGGTAGACACAAGTGGTCAGTCCCTCTTTGACTTCCGATAATGAGGTTGTACGGATTAGTACACACACTTGACAAATTACTTATTTAGTAACTGCAATGTCCCAATAAATTCAATTCAAGCATCAGAAGAAGTTTGGAATAAAATTATTGTAGCAAGCATTTATTGACACTAACCCCAGTGTTTCAAATACTTACAATGCAATTATACATATAACTAAATGGTTCACAAGCTTGCAGTCTTATGCGTGATGCTATCTGGTGTAAGGTAGTTTTTTTGACCAGCCCTAACAGACTTCATCTCACCTTCTCTGTTTCAGACTCTGCTCCCCTCAGCTCCAGAGGAAGGCCCAGTTTGTCCTCAGAGGCTAAACTAACGTGCTAACGCTCCACTGAGAGTCTATGGTCCCTGTTCAGGTCTGCATCAGGTCTGTGGAATGATTCTCTTTGATGTCACAGCTCAAATGGTTTCTATATGAATAATGGATTGAGCTGTCTGCTGACATGTGAAGTTTGGCTGTTTGTACGATTATTAAATATTTGAGTTTAGCACTTCTGAGCCTCCTGGGTCAGATGCATTTCAGAGCAAATGGCACCAATGGACAACAATGACTGAAAAAGAGCTTTAACGTTTCGTGCTTTCGTGTTTTATTAATAATTATTACATTGTTTGGTCCGATACAACCTGTGATAAATATTTACCATAGTTTTACATCAGTCAAGTGGCAGTTTGTGGAAAGAAAGTTAGAAAAAAATATATATATATAAAAATAAAAGCTGAGTTCTAAAAAGGAATTCTTTATCATGAAGTTCCATTTAAAATTCTGGTATATTTTATGCAAAAGACACATTTTTCTGACAGCTTGAACATTAATTTAATTAAATCAATGTATTGTCATATTTATATACATACATACATACATACATACATGTATACATACATACATACATACATACATACATACATGTATACATACATACATTTTTTTTGGCAAGTAAGAACTATTGTGTTTACAATATGGTTGCTTAAGGAGACAGTCATAGAATTACCTCAACATGCTCGCTGGACATTCTGCTCATGTCCAACCAGAAAGTAAGATTATATTGCCGGGTTTCAGACGACATCACAACATTTTATAGGACAATATTAATGAAATCAGATGGCAAAATTAAAATTGTTAGAATGCAAAAAATATATTGTAATACATAGTTCGTATAGTTAATAATTGAAAATACCAGGTTCAGCATTTGTGCATTTACTAAGTGACATGGTAAAGCACAATGTCACCAATAGGGAAATTTGGCTCTTGTCAAAGAGTCAAACATCATCTCATTCTAGAATCTGA